GAAGTGGTGGTCATAAATAGGAGAGCACAACCTGGGAATGAGAAACGTAAACTTTCAGCAAGACCTGCTTGCACCATCTTTTGACTGGAAAACCTGTGGGCGGATGGCATCTCGCAGTGTCACTCTGGGGCCTGGGCCCTATCCTGCCACACCCTCTGAGAAGCCACTTTAGGGCTCAGGGTGTCCATGGCAGAGGAGGCAGGTGCTGAAATCACTTTGGCGGCTGCTGTGACTGCAGGTCCCCCACCCAGCTGCATGTTGGTTGTCGATAAGTCTCAGGTGTCAGTGTTTCTTCTGAACCAAGAAAGGCTTCACTAAGCCTCAGGCCTTAAAAGGGGACCAGTGCAGCCTCCTTTTCAACCACATTAAATCTGGTTCCGCTGCTTGGGTCCCAGAACCTCCTCGGAATCCTGTACTTTGTGTGTTTATATTTTTCATGGGTTTTCTATATTCACAAGATGGGGGAAGCTTAGTCTCAAGAAAACTCCTGAGGTCCTTTCTGACTGTGAAATTCTAGAATCTTTACAACGTCAGAAGTCTTATGTTACAGAAGAGAAAACTGAGACTCCAAGAAGTTGAATTCCCTGATCAAAGTCACATGGGAATTCAGGGTGGCGCCAGGACCCAAAGTTGGAACAGCAGACTCTTCCTATTCTTTCCAAGTAAGCCCCCAGCAAAAAGGGCTCACTGTCTACTCTTTCTGCATGTTGGAAATGACCTCCAGCACCATCTGCCAAGCACATCGTATCTCATATAAAGCTTCCTTTTTCAATGACTCTTAGTCCCGATGTTTAAGCGGCTTGCAGAGTCTGTAAAATCAATACTGGCTTGTTGATAGAAAATGGACAAGCATTTTTATGTCCCATAGTGGCTGAGAGCATACAAAAACCTGATTCTGAAGGCAGAATCTGCAGCAGGCAGCTCAGAGGTGCCTCCTCGTCTTTCTCTACTTTGGAAACCAGGTCAGGGTAGCACAAAAAGTTCTGGCTTAACCACCTCTTGCTCCTGAAAAGGAGGCAGTAACATGCAGTGGCCTGGATGGGATCCTGCACCCCTCTCGATTTCTGCCTTTGCAAAGCGGGGGATAATGAGGTGGCTCTTGTGGGGAATGCATGAGATAATTTGCATAGAATTCTCACAACAATGCCTGGAACCTAGCGAGGGCTCAACAAAGAACAGCTGATACAACTAAGGCGGGGAGGGAGGTCGCTGCTGGGGTCCAGGAGAATGGCTCTTCTGAGAGTGTGGACTCAGCTCTCCTGGAATGGGGTCCGGCACAGGCTGGGGTGGGTGACAGAGGTGGGCCTGGTGCTTCGGAGCTGCCAGTGGGCCTCCTGAGTAGCCAGGCTCCAGTGAGTGCTCGGGCACAGGGAGGCTCTCGAAGATTTGGCCAGGCGTAATGTGATACGTGGCCTGTAGGCTTGGGTGGCACTGGAGTCACATGTCCCTCTGTATTTTTAGCCGTTAATTGGAGGGATTTTTCAGCCTTGTTCAATCAGGTGCCTGAACATCCAGGACCTTGGGCTCCTGACTCCTGAGTCAGGCCGGATGGTTGCTTAAGGCTCTACGGTCAGGCTTGTAGACAGCGGCTCAGAGCCCTGCCACTGCTAGCATCCCTGTGCCGGGCGGGGGACCCAGTGCAGCATGAGAAAGGTGAGGAGCACGGGGGCAGCCACGGGCCACCTGGCCTGGAATCAAGCTGTGATCTCTTGAAGAGCAGAGGCCAGATGGCTTTGTTCTTTGTGATCTGCTCCTATCCCAGCCCCCTTGGGTTAGGAAGGCAGAAAGAAGGAAACACTTGCTCACCATGTGGGTTGTGGACTACATTCCCTCCACAAATGCCTTTGCTCCCCAAACTCAGGTTACGAGGGATCAGATGCTAATTAGTCTGCATTTCTAAGCAGAGAGGAGGTAGGTCCAGCTGAGAGAGCCCTGGATGTGTGGGGTCTGAAGACCTGACTTCAATTTCAATTCTGCCTCAAGGCCAGTTTCAATTCTGCCTCTTACTGTTAGTATAACCTTAGGCAAATCAATTCACTTCTCCGAGCCTCATCCTTGTCTCCAAAATATGGATAATAGTAATAATAACGGCTAACTATTATATCTCTTAAACTGTGCCAGGAACTATTCCAAGTGCTTTACATATCAACAACAGCCCTGTGAAATAGACACTGTTATTATCCTTATTTTATAGATGAGAAAGCTGGGACACAGAGAGGTCAAGTGACTTTCCCCAAATCACACAGCTAGTAACAGGCAGAGAGACTGGGTACAAATCCCTGCTCTGCAATGTACTGGCTGTGTGACCTTGGCAACTTGGTTAACCTCTCTGAGCCTTGATTTCCTCATCTATGAAATAAGGATGATCATGCCTAATTCATAAAACTGTTGGTGAATGAAATATAAGCAGGCCTGCGAACTGGGTAACAGGGTGCCTGGCACACACTGACAGCTTTTGTTGGTGGCTGTTGTGAGTAATCATTGTGTGGTGATAGTTGTGGGTCTTCTGGGTCCTGTGTGTTGTGTATTTCCATGTCTATGGTATACGTGGGCCTATTTTTGTCTAATTTAATTTTGCTGAATTAGAGTGAGGTTCTGGCTTTGTCTGCAGCCCCAGCAGGCTTGCCAGGCCCCTTGGGAAAGCCACACATGGTCTGGACAAACGGGAGGTGTCTACCTGGAATGTCCGCCTTTTTATGACCGGGGGTGGAGCCAGTCGCACTGAATTGAGGAGAGGCAGCAGCTGAGGAGAAAGATGAGTTGGAGGGCCAGAGGGCAAAGGCCAAAGATCACAGGTATTCAGATCGATGCCAAAAGTCGCCAGGAGGGCAGGGCGGCCAAGAGGGACCGGAGCAGAGGAAGAGAGAAGAGAGATTAGCGTGCACATGAGGAGTGGGAGGGAAGGAGTGGACAGGGCACTCTCATGGCTTGAGGGTGCAGAGCGGAGCTTGCCCTTGGATGGCACAGCCATCCCTTGGGAGGAGTTGTGGCCCTCAGTCCACACCCGGCCTCGGCCTCCAGGTCAGAGTTTGGGGTGTTGACCAGCAGCCCCCGGAATGGGACAATGGCCCCCCATGGCCAGGCTTGCCCTCCGTGGCCATGCTGGGCTGCAGAGGCTGCTGGACATGCAGCCCAAAATTGCACTGCCAGCCCCACCCATCCCTGCTTGGTGGACAGAAGGGAGCCAACTCAGAGGGTCTGGCGAGGGAACCACTGGGCCCGTGAAATTGGTACTTGAAGCTGGGCTGGTGTGCGGCTGGTGGGTTCTTTTTTTGGTTGAGCAAGAAAGGCTGGTGTCAGCGCATCTGGGGAGGGTGGTCAAGGACAGTGCCAAGCCCAGCTCCCCGGGAGTTGAGCTGGCTGAGGGTGCAGCCAGTATGGGCACATGCTAAGTGCTGCTGAGGGCTCACCCTGGGGCTGCAGGGCCTGGAAAATAGAGGCTGGGCAAAGATATCTCCAGAACGCTCAACCATGTTTTTGCGGGAGGCAAATTGCAGTCATATTATCTAATGTGATTTTCATTTCTGGAAATTCTTGCAGCTTCTAGTCCCTCTACCCATTGAAGCTGAGCAACCCATGGTTTTAGGAGGCCCTTAGAGCCCATGTGAAAACAAAGATGGCATATACTGTCATCAGCCGCTTGTTTTTGAAAGTACTTAAATCACACAAGACTCCTGGGATGAGTGTTAAGAACCAGGAGCTGTTTGGGCTGCGAATGTGCCCAGCTGGGGATCGGGAGCCCAAGTGTGGCCTTTCCAGGTCACAGCTGCTGCCTTCTTGGACAGTAGTTGCACACAGACCTCCACCCGCTCCCGCTGCCGGGGCCTGGGGATGTGCAATGTTGGGCTGTATGTTCAGGAAGCCTCTCAGTGGAGAGGGGCCCGGAGACCTTCCAGAACCTACAAACCTTCAGGGCAATTATCTGGCTGGAGCGCAGAGCTGCTGGCATGCTGCTTAGGCACTCCTAGTTTGGGAGGGGATGGAGGTGGCAGAGACAGGGCGACAGGGACCGTGATGGGAGAGCCCACAGACACCAGCTCCCCTCCTCCCCACCCCTCTCCTCTCCCTCCGTGGGGAAGCCACAGGCTGGAGTGGAGGAGGGGCCACCTGGATCTCTTTCTTGGTGTCTTCCAGGCCTCAAGACCTGCCACCCCAACCCTGCCTGCAGACCCCTTGGAAAGCCAACAGATCTCTAGAAGCCCCCTGATTTTCTACCCTCTTCTAAATAAACTTGCTCTCCCCCTCAGCTGGGACCCCAAATCTACTCCCCCACCCCATGCCTGACATGTTCCCCAGAATGCCACCGTCATGAGGCCAGGCTTCACTGCACCCTGTGGCCGGGGGTCTTCTGCAGCCTTCTGTCACTGTGCCCTTCCCTTTCCTTGTGTTGGGCTGAGAAGCAGAGAGCCCTGCTCCCACGCCACCCCAAGCGCTCACTGAGGACGGGTAACACACTACCAAAGCGTCTGCAGTTGTGTTGTCTTTTGTGCTGGGGGATGTTGTCTTTCTTTCGGGTAACATAACAATCCTGTGAGCCTATCGTTTCAAATAAACACAGCTGACCTTCTATTATTGTATCAGGATCAAGTTGGCCGGAACACAAGGGCCCCTGCATCCCTGGAGCACATGCCGCTGACGGGCTGGCTCTGACTGCGCTGCTGCTGGCCTGCCTTCCTCAGCCCGGGCCTAGCACCGCCGCAGCCTTAAACCCATCCCAGCCTCTCACGTACCAGACTCACAGTGGTTCCCTGGCCCAGGAACCCAGACCTCAGGTCTGCCTTCCAGCCTCCTGAGGGTCTGGGCAGAGGCTGGGCCCTGCTAGCATGGCCCTCCTGACGGCCTTCTAGAGTCAAGCTGACGCTGAGCTCCAGCTTATGTCTGTCTCCACTCCCCAAATCCCACCAGCCGGACCTGCGTGGCAGGGGTGGGCAGCCAGGGAAGCTGAGCACCATGGGGCACATGACAGAGGGGAGAGAGGCCTAAAGATGCTCATCCTCCATCCCTGCTGTCCAGGTCTGGGAGCAACGAGGCCAATCCACAAAATGAGGGGCTTTTTTTTTTTTCTGGGCCTAGCTCACTGGGGCTCCTGCTGGAGGAAGCTGTGCTTATCTTGCTCTCCCCTGTCTCAAGATCGACCCTGCTGCTGGAACACAAGTTTGAAGATTCCTAACAGGACAACAGCAGTCTTTTGGGTTCTGTATCTTGGGGTGGAGCAAGGAAAAGGAAGGAGGAGGCAGGGGTGGGCAGAGGAAGCATCTCAGCCTGAAATCCCCAGCCTGCTTGGAGAAGGGCTTCCTCTGTTCTCAAACAGGCCAAGGAGAGACTTTATCCCTGAATTGCTACAGTCAGTCCCTGATTATCTCCCATCATCGAGGTCTGGATGTGAAACACCATCATCTGATACAATGACTAATCGAAAAGTCCCACTTTTTTGGCCATGGCTAGGCTGCCGGACATCACCCCCCACCGCCACACACACACACACACACACACACTTGCACACACATGCTGGATGGGTGGGGAGTCGGACTCACACAAGCCACGCTGCCATAGAGGGCCATGTGCAGAGGAGCCACAGAGCTCCACATGAAGCAAGAGACTCCAACATACTGAGTCGGCCGTACGTACAAAGGGGCAGATGTACAGACACGCACGGATGATGAACAGCTCCATACAGCCCATGGCCAGAGAGACACATCAGCTGCTCCCACCAGACGCACTGCCACCCCAAACTCCTCTTTCTGACTGCTGAGTGCAGAGGGCACTGGGGGCTTCTGTTCCCCCACGATCCGTTAGGAACTGGAGACCCCAGGGAGATGAGGCTGAGCTGGGGGCTGTGCCCCAGGGATGATGGATCAAAGGGCCTTGCTCAATTTTAGGGGTTCACTTACCCGGTGTGGGTACTCTCCACACTGACCCTGGGAAGGAGAGAGAAGGGAAAGGGGGTGTTAGGCACTTGTTGGGGGTACCTGTCTCTCAGGGCACCCCCAGAACTTCAGGACATGTCACACATCTCACCACTCACCAGCCCTCCTGCTCTAGCTTTCGTTTGAGCCCTCTGAGGCAGGAGAACTAAGTCCCTCCCTTGCCCCTGGCTAGCAGCAGGGAAGAAACTTCCAGGGCCTGTCTGGAAGTTGCCCCATGGAGCCTAGGGGCGGAGCTTCGCCTTACACCACTTGCCATAATGGCAGAGTCGGGAGTTATGCCCCATGCCTGGCTAAAGGTTGACCCTCTAGACAGGCCCACCAGACAGCCCTGAACAGAAGCCACTGGATGGGAGCAGCTGGCACCATGGGGGCCCCCAAGCCACCTTCTCTGAGCTGGGAGCACCAGGCCCCTGTACCAGTGGCCCAAAAGCAAGCACAGCAGAGTCTCTATCAGAAATTCAACAAGACAGAGAGGGCAGGAGGCCAGGCCAGTGGTTGACAGATTGATGCCTCAGAATCCCAGAGGCTCACAGAGGCGTCAGGGAACACCATGGGGTGACAGCTGGGAGGGGCCCAGAAACAGGCTGAAGAGGGCCAGGCTCCAGGAGGACCCCTGGAAAAGGATGTCACCCAGGCCAGGCTCCAGGAGGACCCTTCACTCCAAGAAAAGGATGTCACCTGTAGCGGCGTCAACTGAATCTATTATGCGGCACCTCAGGGGCTTTCCTGGTTCTGTCAATTAAAACTAAAGTTTGAAAATAACCACTATTGACCCCTTTCTACCGACTGGGAGACCGTTTCCTGAGATGGAGACTCTAGGAAACCTCCACTGCTCTTACCTTTTCTCCTTTTTGTCCCTGAGGTCCCTACAAAGAGACGGAGATGAGAGAGTTAGAAACCGGAGCTGAGGCCACAACCACCTGAAGCTTCTCTGCTGGGAAATAGAAGGATGAGGTACCAACCGGCTGTCCTGGGGGACCCGTCAGACCCTGTGGGAAGCAAACATACACAGATCAGTGGGCAGACAGAAGACGGGCAATCAGGGACACCTGCCTGGGTGGGGACTGGGGCTGAATCCCGAAGGCTGGGCCAGCCACATCCAGGTCTTCCCATGCCCACCACATTCAAGGTGGTGTGGTCTCATCCACAGAGTCTCAGCTTCTTCACCCCGCAGTGGGCCGGACGAGGGTTGTGATGAAGAACAGATGGCATCTTTCATCCATTCCTCCAACCACCAGCATGTCATGGGCCAGCTATGGAGGGGCTGCACCTAGAGGTCAGCGAGTTTTCTGCTCCATGGGACCCCCTGCCTCACATGCACCAAGCCTCTGGGAGACACTAGCACATTCCACCTCCTGCCTCCCAGGCTGCAGTGAAGCCCACTGAACCAGAAGAGCTTCTGGCCTGGGGGGCTGGGCCGGTGCCTCAGACAATGGGGGCCTTGGAGAAACCTTCGGCAAAAGAGAGCGAGCAGGAAGTTGGCAACTGAAGCCATGTTCCGGAGTTCTCTAAGAAATATGAGGGATCTTGAGGTTTCCTTCAAGGTTGTCTTGTCCATGCAGGGGTAGGAAAGGAGCTGGGGTCAGGAGGGACCCTTGCTGTCTGAGGAGGGCCCAGCATGCTCTGGCTCTCTTAGGAGGCTGCACCAAGGCTGGTGCAGGGAAGAGGAAAAAACAAATGCCTTATGAGCTGAGGCTCTTCAGGTGTGTGCCTGTGAGGGACATGCTCGTATCCACTCCAGCTCCTGAGCGAGGTGACAGAGACAAGGTCTCATGGCTCAGTGAATGGTGGCACTGGGACAGGAGCCCAGGTTTGTCTGATGGCCAAGGTCCAGCTGTTTCCACTCTGCCGAATGCTGAGAACTGGGCCAGACCTTGGGAGTCAGGGCTTCTAGACTTGGCTAGAGCCATTCTCTTTGGGGCCTGAAGCATCGTGGATCCCCATGGGTGGGTCCCTCCGGGAGGTGGCGGCAGCATGCCGTGATGTGCAAGAGCCCTGGTCCTGCTCCCGACTTGCCAACAGGGCCACCTCCAAACTGGGAAACTCCCAAGAGCATCACTGGAAGGGAGAAGTGGCCTTTGGGACCATCCATGTGGCCCTCCCAGCCCATGTGGCTGGCCAAGTGTTTATTTATCTTTTATTGTTTTATTGAGACAGGATCTCGCTCTGTTGCCCAGGCTAGACTGCAATGGTATGATCTCAGCTCACTGCAGCCTCAGCCTCCTGGGTTCAGGTGATCCTCCCACCTCTGCCTCACAATTAGCTGGGTCTACAGGCACACACTACCATGCTTGGCTAATTCTTCTATTTTTTTTTCTGTAGAGACAGGGTTTTGTTATGTTGCCCAGGCTGCTCTCAAACTCCCAGACTCAAGCAACCTGCCCACGTTGGCCTCCCAAAGTGCTGGGATTACAGGTGTGAGCCACCACGCTTGGCCTGGCAGAGTGTTTAGAATGAAGTTCAGCAGCACATGATTCACCCAGCAGGGAACCCGGGCCCAGCCCACAGGTGACCAGGTCACCCTCTGTCAGGACAGAGATATAAGTGTGATAGGGGAGGGGCAGGCGGAGTTTCAGGACTGCAGCGACTTGGACAATTGAGACCAGACATCCCAAATGGTGGCCCAGGGGACAGTCGTGGTCTTCATAGGGATTTCGTGTATCCCACATGGTTTTATTTCAACTAGTTACCAACACTTAAGAGCAAGCAGAGTGCAAATAAAAATCTGGATTTCAAGTCAACAACACATGGTACCAGTTCTCTCCAGCCGGGCAGCGCCTGCCCCTTTAAGGGCCATGGCCCCGGGTGACGTGCTCAGCACTTGCCACCAGCCCTCTGCTAACTGCTACTGAAGCATAGCTAAGGTGCCTGTCCGCTTCTTGTGTGCTAGGCGTGTTGTGAGTGCCTGGCGCTCCTCACTCTTCCGACAGCCCTGTGGGTGGTGGGTGAGATTTGGACTCAGTCCAGGTCTTGCTTTACAGCCCTTATGGCGTTCCTGAGTCTCAGAACCCCCAATCTTGTCCACCCCCCAACTGCACTATTGTACAACTGTGTCCTCCCAACACTTCAACACCTTATTTCAGGTTATTGGGAATAATGTGAAGTGGGTGGGGCAGAGGTGACCCCCTTTTGAAGGTAAGGATGCAGGTTAAACAATGAGGGTGAGTGCCAGTGCCCCAGTAGGACGCCAGCAGAGGGGACAGCATCTGGGGCGGGAGACAGACAGATGAAGAGCGGGCCAAGGTAATGATGCTGGACAGCGGTTGGCAACTAACAGCTCGGGTACCCATGCCAAGGCAAACAGGAATCGGATGGCTCTGTGGCCTGCCGGATTTGATGAGGCAGATAGGTGATCTATCCTACTGATGTGGGCTCACGAGAGAGGGGGTGGACCTGCCTTTTCTGTTGAATTAGCTCTCATCCCTGAACAGACAGGCGGTCAAGTGTGTGGGACAGAGGGATGGTGTGGGCAGAGTGAGGGCAGGAAGAGGGGCCCCATGGAAGGGTCCCTTTCCTCCAGAACAAAGTGCTGGCAGCTGAGAGGAGGTGTGATCCAGGGGTAAGACCCCATAGTATTGGTCTGAATCTCAGCTCTGGTATTTAGGAGCTTTGTGGCCTCAGGCAATGTACTTAGCCACTCTGTGCCTCAATTTCCCCTCTCATGAAGTGGGGATGATAAGCTGTTATGAGGATGCCAGAGTGCTGCCTAGAAGATGACCATTATTATTACTTCTGGGGGGCCATGGGCTACCTTATGGTAGCATAAGGCTGCCAGAGAGGAAAAGAAGCTGGGACTAAAGGGATGAGCACCCCAAACCCTTTATGCCTCTCTAACAATGCAGGATGGCAGTTTATTCCTGTCTCGGTTTCCACTATTCCATACATGTGCACAGCACGCCTAGGAACGGGGTAGGGGCGGGAGGAAATGCATTTGCAGCGGAGGCAGCTGTGATGGAGAGGAAACCTTGCTGGGGGACCTGGATTCCAGCACCAGCTCTTCTGCCACTGCCTCAGGGGCCTTCTGCCGCCAGTGCCCTTCCTCCAGTTCTGCAGACATGTCAAGGATTTTCCTACCTCAGGACCTTTGCACATGCTGTTCTCCCATGTCCAGAAAGCACATTCTCATCCCTCTTTCTATTTTCTCTCGGTTGAATCCTCGTTCTTCAGGCATTAGTTCAAAAGTCTCTTTCTCAGAAAAGCCATCTCTGACCCTTGGCCTGGGTGAGGTTTTTGTTATACCAAGGTTTCCAGGGCACTAAGGATAATCTTTTTATAGCACTCATTGCAAAGCAACTTGTTAGTTACGTGAGTGATTATTTAAAAGGATGTCTCCCTGGTAGACTGTGAGCTACAGATGGCAAAGACAGTCTCTCTTGCTCCCGTCTGTATCCCTAGCACCTGAAGTAGTGTGCAGCACATTTTAGATACTCCATAAAAAATGCATTAAAAGAAGGAAGGTGGCAGGAAGGCTGACAAAGAGTGAGGGAAACAGAAAGGGAGGAAGGTAATAAAACGTGGAGGGAAGGAATTTGAGAACTGTGTTTTGATCTTGTTTTGGACACTCAACTGTGTGACTTCAGGCAAGTTACCTAGACTCTCTGAGACTTGGCTTCCACACCTGCCAAAAGGGATTCTAGTAAGACCTGGAGCACAGTTACGCTGAGGATTGAGACAGTCATGCAAAGTGCTTAGCCCAGTGCCGACCACACGGCAAACCCTCAATAAATGTTAGTTGAATCTGAGTCAAGAGGACAGGTTGGGGCCCAGAGGGAGCTGGCAAGTTAGGAAGAGCTAGGCTGGAGCCCAGGCCTTGCAGCCAACACTCCGCCATCCCCCTTTCCATCCACGAGATTGCCTGCCTCCCTCGGTGCCCTGGCAGTGCCCCAGTCATGGGTCAAGGGTTGTCTTCATACCAGCGCTTGGAGCAAGGCATGAGCCAGACCCCTGCCTGGCCCACTGACCTGTGGAGCAGGAGGTGGTCCCTCGCAGTGTAGGTGTGACCTGGGACTTAGGAGGCTGATATTGCATTCTAGCTCATCTTCTTTTTTTTTTTTTTTTTTTTTTTTTGAAGCAGGGATTTATTGAAAACCAAAGTACACTCTACAGTGTGGGAGCAGAGACCCATTTGCTCTTAATGGCCCATCAGTTCCTGCTGAGACCTGGCCCACTGTGATAGTGGGCAGCCCTTCATTGCCTTCTGGAAGGGATGGTCTGTGGAGACAGCAAATTTATTTCCAAAGCTCTGCAGAAGGTAGGGGCCAGGAGAAAGGTGGGGCAAAGCTTGTCTCTCCACCTTTTCAGGGCCTGAGGCACTCCAATTCCCCTGGGCAGATCCATCTCGGGGGCGGCCACGGGATGCTGTGACACGGAAGAGAAGACCTCGCTCCTGCTCTCGACTTGCCAAGTGGCCCAACATCCAAACGAAAACTCCCAGGAAGGCGTGGGGAGAGGAGAAGGGGTCTTTGGGATGGTGCATGTGGCACCCCCAGCTGAGATGATCCACTGGGCACCACCAGCCCCAGTGGGGCAGGAACCCCTGGAGTCCTGGGGTGGCTCAGGGCACAGCCAGCACTGGGAAGGGGTTATGAGGCCTTGAGGGACCTCAGGCTCAGTAGAAATGGTGTCTCCTACAGAAAGTGTCCCCTGTGAGTGCGGATGAAACCTTGTCTCCCAAGGCCCACGCGAGTGTGGTTTGAGAGCACTAAGCTGGACACCGACTTCTGTGTGCCACCGACCAGGTATGCGCTCTCTCTGGATCTCCCAGCCTCATGCTTCAGATGGAGAAGTCCCTGCCCATTTTGCCTCCCTGCATATTGATGTGAGGATCCAGGGCATTTGGTTTACACAGCTGGGGAGTGACCAGCACGGGCAGCCACTCCTGTTGTCCCTGCGGGGCCCACTTTGCAGTGCTTGGCTGTGCCTGTGAGGCTAGGCCAACCCCTACCCATCTTGGGAAGGCAGGAAAGCTGGGCTCTTACCATGTCGCCCTTTGGTCCTGGGTGGCCCTGGAAGGAGAAGAGGGTGAATACCAGGTGCACTGTTTGCAGCCCAGAAGTTCCACCCCCTGCCCCCATGCTTCTCCCTGCCCCCCGTGCTCCTCCCTGCCTCCCCGTGCTCCTCACTGTCCCCTGTGCTCCATCTGCACCTTCTGGCTTGTGTACTCCTTCACCCAGTCCCTAAGGCAAGGTCATTTGCTCACTGCCCCTCGCTGGGCCTCACTAGCAGCTGCCTGCCCTTCAGAGAGCAGGGGTGGGGGTAGTCTCCCTAGACCCCGACTCTCACCTCATCCACATGTCCAGGGTAGCTTCGGGGGATTGGTCCCATGACATGAGTGGAAATGATTGCTGGCGCCCCTGAGCTGCACTTAGCTCACTGGCCTGCAGCTGGGGAGTGACTGGGTGGTGCTAGGGTCCCTCAACTGAGAGAGGCGAGTGGTGGGACCGGGCGTGGCTGTGAGTGGGGCTGCATTCCATCCACCCTGAGGGCTTTGGGTGGGGCATGCTCCCTTCCAGTTGACTTGTTCCTAGGACTGGGGAGGGTACTTTTTTCCCCCAAGAACATTTGTGTCAGGGAACCAAGTCCAAAGGATTGAAATGAATGAAGAGAGGCGCTATGGTAGGAAGCAGTCTCCACGTGGACTTGAGCACACGTGTCAGGTCTCAATCAGGGAGGAAGACCCTGACCTCGAGGACAGGGCCATGGGAGACACAGGTGCTGAGGAGCAGGGGCAATCGTGTGCACAAGTGGCCAGGCTCTTCAGACCAGCTATTTGACCTCCATACCCTCCACTCTCCACGCTGCCTACTGACCTCACCCCCACCCCACCCGGAATCACCCAGGGATGCGTCTTGCTTGGATTCTGAAAGCCAGGCTGGGCAGCTGGGGACCTGTGCCCTGGGGAAGGCCACTGGGGTCAGGGGTGACTCAAATGGCCCCCTCCACTTCCCAGTAGTGACAACCTTCAGCTCTAGGACTTTTCCTTCTAAGTAAAGCATTTTCCACGGAGTCAGGGTCTCTCAGAAGGACCAAGAGATCCAGGATCACTGACCTGCAGTGAGGGGGAGGAGCCCTCCCCTGAGAGCGGGTCCACTTACCGGTTTGCCATCCAGTCCAATGGGACCCTGAAACCAGAAAGGCCAGATGTAAAGACCGAGCATCACAAGCCTCCTGCCAAAGAGGCTGCCTGGGCAGTGGGGAAAAGCATAGATTCTGGATTCTGATAAGTTGGAGCTCAAGGCCCTGCTTGACCACATACTTGTTAATGTGACCATGGGTAAGCCTAGGCCTCAATTTCCCATCTTGAAATGGGGTTGAGCATAATAGAATGTTGGATGCCAGGTACACAGCACAAGAGAAAACCCTATGGGTGGCCTCCCCATTAATGTCAAAGACTTCACCCTTGCCCTGAGTGCAGAGTGGGTGGTGTGTTCCTGGAAATCAGGGGCTGGCCTGCATTGAGGCTGGGAGAAAAGGGAACTTCTCCCTCTGCTCTGCCTGTCAGAACCTGTCTTAGGCCCCATAGGCAGAGGTCAAGGACACCCAGGTGGTCATCCCTCTGCCTTCCCCACGCTGGATCTCCTCTCAAAGCCCGGGCACAGGCTGAGCTGCAGGTGTTCTCCCACAGGGCATCGTCCATTCCGTATTCCCAGGTCATGCTGGGGTTTATCAGCCTGTGACTTCACTCACCTGGGGCCTGTCCTGCTGCCCCTTAATTTGTGGATTTGCTTCCCTGTATTTATTCCTTGCACTGTGACCTGACTGCCAAGCTACTGTCCTGAGTTGGTGTCCATGAATGGCTGTAGAAGCAAGTCCTTAATGACCAGAGTTTGGGAGAGAAAGAGTGGAACCAGGGCTGACCTCAGATGAAGTTTAACCCAATCAGGCCTACAGACCACCTGGGACATAGCTAACTTCAGCCTTCTCCACTTACCGGAAATCCAGGAAAACCTCGAGTGCCTGGTTGACCCTGGAAAAAAAAAAACAAACAAACAAGAGACAAGTGAGATTGAGCAAGGAGGAGATGCAGCCAATCCCTAGCCCTCTGGTTCGTTTTTGCTTCCATGACTCTCACTCTGTGTGATCGTCCTTGGGGGACACTCACTGTGGTTAGTGGGCTGGGAGGGAGGATGGAGAAAGATGAAATGGAACATCATAGGAAATCTCCTGCGGGTGCTGGGGGTGGGAATGGAACAGGAAGGGGCCAGCGTCCTTTGGGTCTACTTCTGGGAAGCGGCCCCTGGAGAGCTCCTCACCACTGTCTATGCGTGGCTTGTAAACAGATGCATGGGACAGTGGGGCCAGCGGAGCATGCGGAACTCCTGGACTGCGATCCTCTAAGCCCTTTTTTATTTACACAGTCATTGCTCATGGCCACTTATCTAAGGATGGCTTGGATATCAGAATCTGACCTTCAAAATGTGTATTTTCAGGCTAGACTAGGTCAGGTTGCTCCTGTTCCTCTCACCCTGGCCAGCAGGCTTCTCCTAGCAGTTGGGCAATCTCTGAGCATTCCTTAATCTTTGTGGGATGCAGAGCAATCTATGCCTATTTTCCTGGAAGTGCAGAGTGCAACACAAATAAATATTTAGGGTGGAGACTAGAAGCAGGTTCACTGGTCACAGTGATTTATGATCCAGTGGTTTATGATCAAGATTCAGGACAAAGGGGATGTGATGAGATTAGAAGAAGCACAAGGCTGTGATGATGCAGGGCTGAGGAGGGATGGCCAGGTGGTCAAGGGTGATGGAGAGCTAAGAAATGTGAGTCTTGTCACTCTCCTTCTCAAGAACCAGCAAGGGCTCCTTTCTACCATGTTCAAGGCCAGCCCTCAATCCCATCCCCATCAACCACGTTAGTTTCCTTTCCCGCCACATCTTTCCATCTATTCTATGCTGAGACACACTGGCTTACCCGCTGTTCACCAAACAAATATGCCCAGTTCTTAGCTTGGGGTCTCCTTTGGCTGACGCAGCCAGAATCTCTTCCCAAGCATGGGCTTTCTAGACTGGCAAACTAAATTCAAATCCTGCCTCCAACTATGGCTGTGTGGCTCTGAGCAAGTTGTCTAACCTCCCAGAGCCTCAGTTTCCTCATCTATAGAATCGAGATGACAGTATAACCTCATAGGATCATCAAATTACATTTAATTATGTTTGTAAAGCCTATTGAAATGGTAGCTGCCATCATCAGACACTTGTTGAATTGAACTGAACAGGGAAGCTCCAGAATAGAGCAAGGTTACTTTTGAGCCCAATATGTCTTGTGATCAATGAAAGTTTGTCCTTGTCAAGCAGCAGTTTTAGAATCAGACCTCTCCAGAAGATTTCTCTTTGTTATACAACGCAGCAGGCTCCCCCTGTCCCTGTTCAGCGGGCGTCTGGCTCATGCCTTGCTCCAAGTGCTGGTGTGAGGATTCATATGCTATGACCCTAAAGCATCTCCAGGCTGCCAGGGTCCTCCTTGAAGCCGCGAACATAAGTGCCCAGTGGCCTGTGCTCAGGGAACACGTCAGCTGGGTAGGATGGGCACCCTGCCATCAGGGTGGGTGCGCTGGTTCAACAGCGAGCGAGTTGAAGTCTGCCGCAGGCTTAGGATGGGCTTGTGGCAGCCATCCAAAAGGGCATGAGGGAGGAGATTCCACTCATCTATCGGAAGGGCCCCTGGCTTTTTTCCTCTCAAGGATAAGCGATGCTAAGAATAAACCAAGGAGAAAACCCGGAAACCATCCAATGTCATCTCTGAAACCTCCCAGTGTAAACTTTCTGTAAACTACTCTGCACACCAAGAGGACTGAAGCAAAGGTCAGGAGGAGAGGATTCCAAGAAACATCTTCAATCCTGCTAGGGACAATGTTTACGTGGTAGGGATAATCACACAGTTTGTTAATTACAGAGCCTGCCCTGGTAGGAAGATGCATCTCTCCAACCAGGACCAAATCCGGGGCTAACCAAGGCTTTTTCAGAGATCTGGGGAAGAATGTTGTCATGGACCAAGTGGAAACTGGGACGCCACTTTGTGGAGAGGCTGGGCCTGGGGAAGGCATGTGGGGAGACTTGGAACTGGACTTTAATTTATATCTCTTCAATTATATCCTGAGGTTAGACATCTCTTCCAATATTTCTCTGCCCGTTTCTCTTTACCAATGTTTTCTAGTAGGTTGTTTGTTTTTTCCCTGCTGATTTGAATGAAGCACTTTGTCAAGAAAAATAACTCTTTGATAGTCATGCATCAAAGAGTTGGGGCACTTTGACTTTAAGGGAGCCTCATTAAATCCAGGGGGAGGCTGGATCCCCAAGATGCTGGCTGGCCCAGCAGGGCCTGGGCAGTGGATCTGCCAGTCCTAGGAAATGCCCCATCTCAAAGTGTGCCCATTCCCTCTCTGAGCTGCCCAGCTTCTCTTCTGGGGCCAGGAGATATCCGAATATTCAATAGTCATGAATAGTGATGACTATTCTTTCTACTTTGGCATTTGTCATTTATTTTGTTTCTGGTATGTTTTATATTTATATAGACAAACTTAATCTTCTCCTACGGCTGTTGGATTTTGTGTGATGTTTAAAAGGGCCTACCCCAGTTTCAGAATTATAAAATGTTCACTCATGCTTTGTCCTTGTATTTTATGGTTTCAGGTTTTATATCTAAGTATTTTGCTCATTTGGAATTTATTCTGATATAATGAATAAATTGGTTTTAATAATAAAAAACCAAACAACCATCTTTCATTTTACCTTTTACTAAGTGGCTTATCGGTTGCCCCAGCATCATTTCTTGAACAATTGATCTTTCTCTTGCTATTGTGAAATGAAGCCTTGATCATGTACCAAATTGACACATGCATTTGGCTTTATTCCTGGCCTCCCCATTCTGTTCTGTTCATATGTTTCTTAGATTGTCCTGTTTTTATAATACATTTTTGTATCTAGTAGAATTTTGTTGGATTCCCAACCTCATAAAAAACGCACAGGGATTAGGACCACATTAAATGTATAAAAAATAGATGTATTTGTACATTAATTCATGGATTAATATTACATCCTTCTGAACCAGAACCAAGGAAATAATCTTTACATTGATCTCTGAAACCTTCTCCCTTAGTTCAAGGTCAGAGTGAAAAGGGAGCCGAAGGAGGTCCCCACTTCTGAAAGCAGACCCCTGTGTCTACTCCTCCCTGTCTTTCTCCTACTTGCAAATACACAGACAGAAGGTTCTTGCTGGAAAAAGCCTACCAGGAAGTCTCCCTTCTCTTATTTGACCGTCAAGAGATGGTCAGTTGTGTCTCTGCCCAGGGGCCGCCTCATTCTGCCTCCCTCACCAACAAGACTCCATGCTGGCAAATGTTTAACCATTAGCTGAGTGGGAGAGGGTGGAGAGGAGAACCCTGCCTCGTACAGCATCTGCCAATATCTGTGGTATAAATACACCCACCATAGCTGATTTCAAGCTACCAACATGAGGTCACTGAACGCAGCTGGGAGGAGGCGAGGTGTGCATGGTCCACTCTTGCCAGCCGTCCAAGCTGGCTCCAGCCGACCACTTGCTCTGACCTCCAGCAGCGGATCACAGTTCCCGTTGGACATTACGCCATCTCTAATGCATCATGCTCAAATTCAACTCATCTCCCCTGGCAAAATCTGTTCTTCCTTCTGGGAAAGGGTACTGTGTTACTCAAGTCAGAAATGTGGTGTCATCTTGAGCTCCTGCTTCTCCCTCAATCCTCATTTTTTATCGTCGCTAAATCCTTCAATTCCACCTCTAAAATAGCTTGCAAGTCCAGCCCTCCTGGCCAGCCCTACCGATTCTGCTCCAGTCCAGGCCTTGGTTGTTGCAAGTGCCTTCCAGCCAGCCTCCCACTGCAGCCTCTTCTAAACATGCTGCATGCTGGACCTTCTAAAACCTTTCAAACTGCAAATCTGGTCATGTCCCACATCAGCCTAACACAGCCTACAAGCTCTTCACACCCTCAGGACAAAGCCCAACCCCTGACCATAATGTAAGGGCTTCTCACGGGTCCTTGATTGCAGTTATTATCCCCTTCTCCAGGAAACCTTCCCTGCCTGCCCTCCTTCCCCAAGGCTGGTGCCTCCTCCTTGTCCCACAGCTCTCTAACCATCCCCTGGTTTAGCACTTGCTGTCTGCATTGTCATGGATTATGTGATCGCTGGTCTCTCCACTAGCTCATGTGCCCAGAGGGCAAGCTGACAGAGGTCGGGTTTCTAGGCAGCACCTAGCAGGCACTGGGCTTTTAACAAATACGAACGGAGTGAATTGAGACACACTCAGTAGGTGTGTCTACCTGGTGTGGGGTGGCTCCTAGTGGATGAGGACTGGAAGTTCAGGTATCTCCTGGCCCCAGAAGAGAAGCTGGGCAGCTCAGAGAGGGAATGGGCACACTTTGAGATGGGGCATTTCCTAGGACTGGCAGATCCGCTGCCCAGGGCCTGCTGGGCCAGCCAGCATCTTGGGGATCCAGCCTCCCCCTGGATTTAATGAGGCTCCCTTAAAGTCAAAGTGCCCCAACACTGTATTCCAGCGTGCTTCATTAGAAAGTGAACCCTCCTCCAAAGTGTTTGGAGGGGGTCCCTCTTTGCTTGGACCATTTATCAAGCTCCAAGAGGGGAGGCAGGTGGCCCCTGAGAGTGGCAAGGCTGGTTCTTATTAGCAGCATCTCTGCTGGACCCTTCCTGGCTGAGTGGAAAGTCACATGTTCTCCATCATCCCTGGCTGCCACCAAGGGTGTGCACTTGACCTCTACCACTTAATGACAAATGGACCCTTTGTCTTCCCCCACCCCTGCTCCCATTAGCTCAGGGCAGCTTCCTGGGAGGAGCCGAGTGGGCTGCCCCTGCTGTCCAGTGGGGACTCAGCAGGGATGGCTTGAGCCACTGGGTGATTGGGGCCAAAGTTAGAGGATGCTGGGGTTGGTTAAGACTCCTGGTACGATAAAACCTTTCCTGGTGCCAATGTAGGCACCCACCTGGAGGATTTTTTTTCTCCTGAAATAAATACCATTTTAAACAGTAGCATTTCAAACATGGAGCAGGGTGTTGAGGCAAGAATGCAGGCTTTGGGATGAGGCTGACGTGGCGAAACCCAAGCTCTAGAACTTACTAGCTGGGCAACCACAGGCGAGTTAGGAAACTGTTTTCTCCTCTGTAAAATGGGCTGGTGGAGCCTGCCTCACAGCTGTGAAGGAGACCTATTTTGTGACGGGTGCCTGGGAGACAAAAGCTCTCATTGTTACCTGAACAGAAGGTGCTTTTCACTATTGGAGTCAAATCCGGTGCAGTAGGTATGTTTCTGATTAGGTTATCTGTGCTGGGCTGAGGCCAGGAGGGGCAGAGGCTCTACTGCCCTGAACACATCTCCAGCAGTGGAGTTTTTCAATAACTTTTTGGTAGCCTGTTGACATAATTTGCTGAAAGGGTGTTAGAGGACCAGCAGGATCCATGCAATAGAACATCTGTAGCCAGACCAGAAGGCAGACAGAGATGGCGGCCTAAGGTAGGCCGTATATGCTGTGTTACTCCCCTGTCCTCTTAACACACGAGGCTCGGTCCCTGATGTTAGAACCTGGAGGACTGTCTTCTGTTTCTATGACCTTCCCATCACCACCTTCATCAGGACCAATTCGGCCAGGGCATTGGCGCTGCACCTCCTCCAGTACACAGGAGGCTGGAAGCCCATCGGGGCAGCCACCATGAAAGCCCAGGAGCACATGTGACAGTGACATCAGGCCTGTCCTGTCCATGACAGCAGCAGGAATCAGAAGCAGACTGCAGCCAGATGGCCTGGCTGAATGATCTGTTACCAGTGTGGCCACATGCCAGCCCTATGGCCTTGGGCAAGTCACTCAGCCTCTCAGTGCCTCAGTTTCCTCATCTGTAAAATGGAGGTGATCACAGTCCCCACATCATGGGGTTCTTGTGAGGATTAAGTGAGTGAATACATGTAAAAGTCTTAAGATAAGACCACCATAGAGGAAGTGTGAAGCGTGGTCAATATGGTCTGAGCCCAGAAGAAAACCTTGCTGTAAAGGCCATGTCTACTCAGTCCAGGGCTGCTCAAGTGCTGCCTCCGAACTGGCCCCTGACCTGCCTGCCAGCCTGGCTCTCCTGCCCCTGCTCTCTGCTCTCCTTCCCAAACTGGCTCCACCCCTCAGCTCCCCACACTCACCACAACCCCTCGCTTGGCTGTTCAGCTCACTGTGGGCCCCCTCCCTTGGATGTAACTTAGCCATTTGTTCTCCAGCCCCTCTCCCTCCGATGTGGGTCTCAGTCCTCCAGAGGCTAGCCCTCTGCTCCCATCCCTCACGGAGCATGGCGGGTCAGGAAAAGTGCAGAAGGTGGAGCTGGCAGCCTGCTGCTGTGGTGAGGCCGGGGCTCCTCGGTTCTAATCCTGCCAAGCCTCTACATGGGAGGCCCCTCCTCCTCTCTGAGCCTCAGTTTCCCCTTCTGAGAGGGCTGTATGAGACCATCCCTGGGATCCTTTCCACCCTGACATGTGGTGATTTTATTAAAGCCCCGTGGTTCAGGGCTCTGGGAAAATAACAAGCCTTCCTCCCACAGCCTTGATATCTTGCTGGCTTCATCACCCGCACCCCCGTTTTGGTCCCTAAGGAAGCACATGTGAGGGGAACCTCGCTGGTTTTCTCAAGCTCCCAGCCACGGGTTGGAGGGTGCTAGTGAACACACAGGAACCCACACTGCACACAGAGGCATCTGTGAGGGTGAGTGTGGGCTGGGCTTCTGGCAAGACCAGTACTGCGTGCCTGCGTCAGTGAACCCGGACTCGTATCTGCTCCATGGGCTTCCAGAAACAAAGGCTGGTTCCCGGGAAAGCCGGATCACCCCATCCTGAGGACAGCAAACTCTTTCTCCCTTCTGTCTGTAAACAGCAGGGCCGCCTTGCAGCTGCTGTAGTTTCGTGGCTAGAGGGCAGGTCCCTCAGAACCCTCCCAAGGGGCTGTAATTTAGGTATATTTAGCCAGGCCACTTTCCTTAACATCAACATCGGCACCCGAGGCCTGGTTGGCCTGACCACATCACATGCAGTGGCCTCCCCACCCAGGGGCACAGCTGCCCTCGCTGCCCCCTCATCCCCAGCCTGAAAGCCCCTTTCATCAACTCACCCATACCCCCCACACCCCGAGGAACAGCAAAAACAACTTACAGGGGGGCCGCGGGGGCCGATGATGGACAGCCCAGCATCTCCGGGGGACCCCTGCGGGGAGAGATGAAGGGGGAGAGGGAGCGAGGGGCAGGGAGGTGTGGAGAAGAGGAGCGGGAAAGAGAGGAGCCAAAGGGAAGGAGCTGGCAGGGGGCCGGGAGCAGGACGCCGGCCCCACGGGACAGGAGAGGGAGGCCGGGGACGTGGAGGGCCACGAAGGGATCAGCAGAGGCAACAGAGAGGGCACAGGGACAAGGAGGGAACATTTGGGACGGGTTGGGAAGGGCAGGTAGTAGGGGGATGCAGCAGGAGGGAAAGGAGAAGAGGTGTCAGCGAGAACACAGGACATGGGGGTTCCGGGGAGACAAGGTGGTGGGACCCCAGGCCGGGGAAGCAAGAAGAACCGGATCCATTGGAGTGACAGGAAACAGGGAGACACAGGGAGAGAGGGGAGACTTAGCAAGCCTGCCCAGGCCCGAGTCTTTCCCCCGTCCAGCCCAGGGTGCTTTCCAGCCCCCTCCGCAAATACCCACCTGGTTGCACACCCTGCAACTGCTGAACCTGCCCGAGAACGGGGCTGTGCAAACAGAGGGTGGGGACACGAGCAACATGCGTGCTGTGTGAACTTAGCATCCCTGACCCTGAAAGGCTGAGCTGCCTCAAATTCCCTAGTCCCGGTTTCAGAACGACACGGAGGGGTGAAGCCTGGGGCAGAATTGTCAGCTCTGAGAGGAAGGCAGTTGCTGCTGAATGAGGAGCTCGAAGTGCTGTCAAGGGTGGCTAAGCTAGTTAGACAAGCGCTGTGTGTGTGTGTGTGTGTGTGTGTGTGTGTCCCCAAGTTCAAGGTCTTACTCTGCCAGGAAAAGTTACAAAACCTCTCCGAGCCCACATACCTCCTCTGTGAAGAGGGATTCTGAGAGCGGCTCTGCTGCCCTTATGGGAAACGCATTTTGGAAAATGTCATACCTCACAGGTAGGCGAGGGGTGATTTCAAATTAGTAACTGTTTATGTCATGGAAATGATATAATAATTTTTATACAAGGAGGTGTAGTGTCACGGTTAAGAGCCAGAATGCTTGGGTTTGAAGCCCAGCTCTGCTACCCACCAGCTGTGTGACCTTGGGCAAGCGACTTAATGTCCCCGTGCCTGTTTTCTCATCTGTAAGGATACAGATAGCGCCTGTCTCATAGGATGGATGAGAAGATGTCACGTGTTAATGTAAAGTACTTAAAACAATGCCTGGTCCATGGAAAGGGTCATGTGTCTTTCTCCTAGGCAGTTTAGCCTCATGCCAATGTGGAGCTGACAGTCTGGTTCCATCTTGGGGACAGAATAGTATGGTAGCTAGGGCCCCAGCCTTGGAGTCAGACCACTGGGGCGTCTCTCCAGCTCCGCCACATTCTAGCTGTGTGACCTGGGGCATGTGACTTGGCCTCTCTGTGCCTCATGTAAATGAGAATATTAAAGCTTCCCTGAAAAGGTTATGTCGGTGCTAGTTGGGAAAACAGACAAAATATTTAAAACTGCACCTGACACAGTTTGTGTTTAATACATGGCAGCTGTATTACAATTGTTGAGATTGTTATTTTGGAGACAGAAAACTATTGCAGAAATACTGCATTACAGACAGGGAAGTACAGAGCTGGGCACTGGGAGGTCTGGCTTGGAACCCCCGCTCATCACTATTGCTGTGCGATCTTGGGCCAGCCCTGCTCCTTCCTTGGGCATCAGATGAGTTTCCTCATCTGCAGAGTGAGCTCCTTAGAAGTGTTGTGCTTGGCCAGGCATGGTGGCTCACGCCTGTAATCCCAGCACTTTGGGAGGACAAGGTGGGCGGATCGCCTGAGGTCAGGAATTCGAGACCAGCCTGGCCAACATGGTGAAACTCCGTCTCTACTAAAACTGCAAAAATTAGCTGGGTGTAGTGGCATGCACCTGCAATCCCAGCTATTTGGGAGGCTGAGGTAGGAGAATTGTTTGAACCTAGGAGACAGAGGTTGCAGTGAGCCAAGATCTCACCACTGCACTCCAGCCTGGGTGACAGAGGGAGACTCCATCAAAAAAAAAAAAAAAAAAGAAGTGTTGCTCTCAGAAATCTCTCAAGAACCCCGCAGGGCTGATGTTCCAGGATGGCTTCTGGGTTTCTGACTTCCCAGGGTCTATTCCATAACCTTGGGGGTCCCCCTGGGCAGTTCCAGCTACACAAAAGAGCAGTTGGCCAGAGTGATGCGGCCTCATGCTGTCAGGGCAGGGCAGGGCAGGGCAGGGGAGACCTACTCAGCCGGGAAAGCTGGGACCGCCGCCCAGGAATCCCAAGACTGCTGCCCGATGGTATGGAAGCTGTTAGGAAACTGGGCCGTGAGAGGCTGTGAGGGCAGCAGGCCCAGCCAGCACCCTCTGCTGAGGCTTTCATCGGGGGAGGAGGGCTAAGAGTCTCCCTGTCAAGAGTCCACCTGGAGGAGGAGGCTGGGTGCAGGGCAGAAGGGGAAAGCGTGGACTCACCTTCTCGCCTGGTTGGCCCTTTACTCCCTGGGGCAGCCACATGCAACACAGGGTGCAAGAAGGGAAAAGGAGGGAGAGAAAAAAGAGGGGATGAGAAAGAGGCACCCACACGAGAATCCATGTTCATGGCACAACAACCAAACAGAAGAAATCACTGTGAAATAAGAAACAAAGCAAAACACAGATGCTGACACATGACAGGTCCACGTCCAACAAGCACAGCATGTGGCATGTGGAAGGCAGCGGCTGCAATGTGCAGCTGCTCCAGATAACTGAGGAACAGAGGCTGGGGCTGTGAGAGGCCCTCTTGAGGCACGTGTGTGTGTGTGTGTGTGTGAGTGTGTGAGAGAGAGAGAGAGAGAGAGAGAAAGCCAGATAATTGGAGAGAGACAGAGAGAGAGAAAAGATAACAAGATCCCACCTAAGTAAGGAAGTCTTCCCCACAAGCCATGGCCCCAGCTGGCCAGGACACTCTGAGGTTGGAGTGGGGATGGGGGGGAATTGCCCCAGGACTGTGTTGTGATGCTGGTGTCTAGGAGGTTTGCAGGTCCAGCTGAACACCAAGAACAAAGCTTTGCCAAGCTAGACAAGCCTGGAGTCCTTGGGCCTGGCCGGGCAAGGTGGAGGGAGGGGGTATGGAGAACCACAGGAGGCCAGAAGGCAGGACACACACCTCTGGAAGGATGGAGCACGGGTCAGTGATGCAGTGGAGGCTGGTTAGGCAGCCAAGGATCCCTTGCAACCACAGTGACCAGTAGATGGGCAGTCCCAATCCACCCTGCTCTGGACAAGCCAGTGGGGCCACCTCTGGTAAACCCCAGGGATGACCCAGGCATGTCACACCTACTGGCCACCTCACTGCTTATCAGGTGGCTCCTGCCAGGACCCCTACTGGGCAAACAAATGGGCCCATTGTCACATTTAAAATAGCACCAGCAGCCAGAGTGGCTTCCTTCCTAAGAAGGAAGTGGGGAGACCTCCTGCAGCTCCCCTCCTTCTTCCTCCACTGCTATGGGGGAGAAGTGTGGACGCTTCCTGGGGGAAGGTGTCCACAAGGTCCAAGAAGGAGGACAGTACGGACAGGGCGGGGAGGCCCAGAGCTGCCACTTCGCATTTTGCAGCCTTCCCTGTGGCCGGTCTCTGCACTCGGGAGAGGCTCCTGAAGTTTCCCTGGGAGCAGGGACTTTGGGGTCCCACAGTTGGCTTGGGTACAAAGCCCAACTCCACCCTATCTCAGGTGCAGTGAGTCTTAACATCTTCATTTGGAAGACAGGGGCTCAGAGGGCTATGGTAACGCAGGTGACTGGCTCAGGTCCACATGCTCAGGCCCTCGGGAAAGGATGGCTGAATCATGTTTCCCCGCTCTGTTCAGAGCCTGTGACGGCTTGGGTGGACTCAGGATCTGGAGTTAGAGAATGGAAGAAAAGAGACAGAGCCAGGCAGCAATTCCACCATGCTCTGCTCTGGGAAGTGGTGGGAGATTCACGTGGGGCAGCCCAGCGCTCCCAGCCTCCATGCCTCCATAGACAGGCCTTGCGTGGGCCCTGGAGAGAGCAAAGCTCCGTGACATGGAACTTTCCCTGAACTCTGAAATATCCCAGGCCTCGGGGGCTTCATTCTAAGGATCAGACCCTCCTCAGAGCTGCAAGGCCAGCGGGGGTGGGTGGTGAGCGGGGAGTAGTAATAATGTCAGGATCAAGAGTGCAGGTTTGGAGTTGGGCTGTCTGAGTTCAGATTTCTGCTCAGCCACTTCCTGACTGTGTGAGCTTGGGAAGGACATTTAGCTTCTGAGCCTCAGTTTTCTCATCGGAAAACTAGGGGTGGAAACTGTTGTTTACCTCATGCAGTTCTTGTGAAGTCTGAGTAAGCTAATACAAGGCTCTTAGCACAACACCAGCAAGCAGTTAGAACTAGCAAGGGTCAGCTTTCATTTGGATGCCTTTTCTCAGCCTCTGAGCACTGGCAGGCTCACACCAGGCATGCAAATTCACACAAGGATGTTGACCCACTCCTACAGCCAATCCCATGAGATTCTGAGGCAAAGCTGAGAATGACATGGGGGTGGTCAGGGGTCTTGGGGAGCCGGGTGAGGCAGAGGCTGATGGCAAGTTAGGAGTCACATGGGGAGAGCGGCTGAGGCCCTGTCCCAGCCCAGGCTGGGGAGTGGTGAGGGTGGGGCATGGCCATCACCGCCTTAGGCTACTGCCTTTCTAGCCCTTTGTAGACACTCAAGGGTTGCTGCTGGCCTTCCCATTTCTGGGAAACACCCTCTCCATCAAACATTCTCATCTATGCTTCTCCATCTTCATTTTCCAGTAGGAAACAGGGAATGTTTTAACTCTCAGCCTCCTTGTGAGGACTTGGAGGCACCACCCGGGGCCAAGCCCTGTCTTCACCATCTCTTAGTGCGTCTCTGTCTACAGAGAAGGCCTCTGGGAACCCTGGCTCCCCCGAGGGGTTTGCAGGAGCAGCTGTGAATCTGAGGGTGAGCTGCCAGCTTTGGGGGGTGGAGTGGGAGTCCTTCTGATGTCGAGGCTCAGTTTGTTCCTCCCATTCCCAGCAGGTAACTGGCAAAGGGCTTTGTTCATGCAACTTTGTTGGGTTTTTCCTTTGCTGTGGCAGCTCTCTGGAGAGTAAAGCCATACTGTGAGGTCTGAAGGACTGGAATACAACTTCCCTTCTCCTTCCTTGTCCCTCCCTGAAGCATACTGGGGCCTGGGGAAGGGAAAGAGCTGACCCTCTCCTTGAACCTGGGGCAGACAGCACATTGCCGTGGTTTAGAGGACAGGCCAGCACGGAGAAGCAAGCAATGGCCACCTGAGCAGGTGCAAATGGGCCAACTCACCACACGTCCAGGCATCCCAATGGCACCTTTGTCCCCCTGATGATGAAGGAGGCAGAAACAGTCAGATGTGGTTGGAACCAGGCTAGCATGTGAAGGACCCTATAGGCAAGCTGTGCACCTGATTTAGGGCACAGCTAACCCGGTTTGCAGTGGGGACAACATCCTGTATGATGCCCAAGCATCATGTAGGTGCACTCCCTATGCACCTCCCAAGGACTATTCAGCAAGCAGCCACCGCTATGGCACTGAAGGAGTCTGGTCCCAGCCTGGGCCTCAGTTTCCCTATGCCTTTCCAAGGCTTTACTCCCTTAGACTTCACTGTTGCATCGATTCCAGCAATGGCCAGGATGTGCCTCATCTTTATCACGCACAACTTCAAGGCACAGAGCAGGGTGACTGGCAGCTCCCATGTGACAGATGGGTGAATCACTTTCCTCAGTCTGTCTCTGCCAGGGCTGGAGAGCAGTGCTCCACCCTAGCCCCTGGTTTGAGAAAGCAACCTCTGGAGTCTTTCTCCACTCCTCCCTCCTCTCGGCCACCTCCAGTACTGACAGGAAGGACCACGAGCCATGTGGATTCAGCCGAATCACGAGTTGCAGATGCTCCAAGGGAAATGCTTTGTTTTGTAGCCAGGGGTTACATCTTCTCACTCTGGAAATCTGCTTATTAAGTTTTGTTCTTCCCCCTTTTGGTAGAAAATATTTTTTTGCCATCATATGCATGCAGACATCATAAAACCTAGGGTGGGGCCTAAAGTTTGCTAGGAGCCTGGACGGATGGAAAGCAATAGGGTGCGGAGACTCAGGTGGTTTTCCAGCCTGCTGGACAGGAGGGGACTGCAGGGGCTTTTCTGGGGTGACTCTGCATCTGCTAACCCCACTGAGGCTTAATACCTCGAGGAACAATGCGCATCCACAATGTATGTGGGGCACACCTGAAAGAAGTAACTATTTCTGAAGTTAGGCTCTTAAAATTAACACATAAGGTCAAGACCAATGGTGGCTTTGAGTAAAATGTTCCACTTTTGCTAAAGAATGGCAGGGTAGCAGTGCAGATTAGAAGCACTGACTCTTCCTTTAACCTCCCTGAGCATCAGTTCTGTGGAGTGGGGGTGATAAGAGCTTCTTTCTCATGAGGTTGCTGGGAGGATGGCACGTGATGCTGTCTCTGAGAAGCATGTGGCCAGTGCCTGGCCTTTGGTGTTGAGTAAATGGCATCTGCTCGTGTAAAGCCTACCACAGCCGCAGGCAGGTGAATTTCATCAGCATGTTTGCACTCCACACATTTTGCTTTGTACACCAGGGGCTCACATCCATAGTCTTTTTGAGGGTTACTCCTAGGTCTCTTCACATGGAAGCGTCAACAGGACCATGACCTGTGGATCCAAAATTGGCTCTGCCTGCGAAGGACCGCAGGCCAGGGCTGGTCGTTGGCTGTGGCAGCCCCATGGTCCACTCACTCTTGGGCTTTTGAATGATATTTCAGGATGTGTGTTTTGGTTTCTTTTTCATTTCTTTTTTAAAACTAATGCTCTTTGCAGTCCTGGCCATAAAATGCTTGGGTTAGGGATGGGTGTGGAATGGCCAGGGACTGGAAACTATGTGCAGCAGCCCCTGCTCTGTCAATTGCCCCCTAAATGCTTTTTAAAGGTGGATGTTGTAAGAAAAAAACAAAGTCTGCCCACATTCCCCTCGGTCATCTGATGTTTCCCCTCCTTGGATTTCATGGGACCGATCCACTCGTCTTCCTTTGCGCTGGGGCTCTTACTGGGAGAGCTTCCATTTGCAAGTCTGAACATTCCCCCACATGCATTTCATTAAGAAAGCCACTGCTAGGCATGAATTTTAGAAGCTGTTGGATTAGTCCAAAGGTTACAGTATAATCCATGTCTAAAAGGGGAGTCATTAGGTAAGAGGGAGGCACATAAGGGTCTGGAATCTCATGGATGTGACCTTTGGTACAGGGAGACAGGGCAGACTGGTGCCAGCCCCAGGCCAGGGTGCTCTCCATACCTGATTCCGGCCCCCTGACAGGTTGCAGCATCTTGCCTGGGTCACTCCCCATCTGAGGGTCCATGGAACACATACCCAGTGTTCCACTCATCCATGCCCTGGGCTAGACTCCACAGAGCAATGTCTTAGAATACTTTAAAGATGGGTTTTGAAGGTGGAGCACAGACCACAAGCAACAGCAGTACGGAATGGTGTGTGATGATACGGGCCTCTAACAGGTCCCCACCTGAAGCTTGGACAGATGGACAAACTATTTTACCTTCCTGACTCTCATGTATAAAACAGGTTTATAATCATGCCCATTTTACTGAGGTGTTGAACAAGCCGAATGTGTGAAAGGTGATCAATGCAGTACCTGGCTCCTCTTATGGTTTCAATAAGAGATGGCTATCTTTTTTGTCCCAAAGTCCCCGTGGTTACTTGGCACAGTAACTCTCTAGAATTGGGACATGGTAATTGAGGGAAAACAAAGTTTCTGAGTCTGCTCTCTTACCAGCAGGCATAGGAAAACAGTGGTTTGAATGTCAGCTGGTATGCAGGGGGATAGTCAGTGTGCCAGTGGGCTGCCCATCCCTGCAGCTGACTATGGTAGGGTCATCAGTCTGGAAGTCAGCCACAGTTTTGGAAGGATCTGCATACTGTAATTTGTCTGCCTCGGGCAAAGGGGCACCAAGGGCTGCAGCTAAAGATGCCCCAGCAGGGTCCTCTCTAGATCTCAAAGGAGGAGGGAGCTGAGGTGACTTCACCCTAAGCTATAGATCGGGGATTCTGGAGAGTGGCCTGTACCCAGATACACGTGGAGAAAAACCAGCCACCCAACCTAGCCAGTCTTCAGACTGAGAAACAGCATGTAAAAGAGATGCAAAGGAAAGAAGAAACAAAAGTTACTTACTGGGAGTCCAGGTCTTCCAGTGGGACCCTAAATGAAGAGTGAAGTTTCCATAGGTCAGGCAGGGTATTGCAACACCTAACTGTTGAGCACTGTCCCAACCAGCTGTGTGACCCTGGCAAGCCACTTGGGTGGGCCTTTGTTATTTTAGGAACAAAATGAAGGGGGAGGCTTGATCACTAAGGCTTATGAAGCTTCCTTCTAGTTCTGGCCCTGAAGACAGCCCACCTGTGTTCACCTCTTGGCTCTGCCACTTACTACTTGGGTACCCTTCAGCAAGTGCCTTGGTCTCCCTGTGCCTCAATGTTCTCATCTTGAAAATGGAAGAATAATCATTACCTATCTGTTAGGATCAAACGAGAGAATGTATGTAAAGCACTGAGCACAGCGGCTGGCATATAGCAAGTCCTAAATAAATGCAGCTATTACCATGATTATTAGAAGAGAAGAGGACAGGCCAGAGACGGCCATGGGGCTGGCCTTGGTTTCTCCCTCCAGAGACCCTGCTGTCACATACAGTTCCTCTCTTTCCAGACGTCCTGCTCTTCCCATAAACTGAAGGCAGAACCAGGAGTGGGTCTTGGGGTGTTCCCTGGGAGACAAGTCCCTGTAGGGCTGCTGAGAAAAGTTCAGGCAGCACCAGGAGTAAGTCACCCCTTCTAACCGCTGTTCCTGAGGACATCCCCTCCGTGGTGGTGCAGTGACGCCCGCCAGTCGCGGGGGAGGGGGGTCCTTGGGGAACGTGGGGCTACAGACTTCATGGGGACAGGACTTGTCGCCATCCCGTCATGTTGCTGGTTTTGCCCCATAGCACTAAAATGTGAGCTCCTGAGGTAGGGACTTTCCTGTTTCATTCACGAATGTGTCCCCAGTGCCTCAGCAATGTGGAGCTCACAGTAGTCCTTAAGACACATTGACGAATGAATGAATCTGCCTGCGGATACCAGGAACCTGGCAACAGCCCTGCTTTCCCAGGCCCCCACAAGGACAGACCAGGCACTGCGTCCCTTAAACCAGAGCCTTAGTGCTGAACCAATGCCCTCTTCCTCGTGCTTCTAAACTGCCTGTCCCCTAATGTCACAGAGTGGGCTGAGAAGTGGGGCAGTGACCTCCCATCCCAGGGAAGGGAAGGGGCCCAGGTGAGGAGGGTCCCAACCTCATGCAGTGGGTTTACTCTGAATAGGAACAGAAGGGGCAATTTGCTTGCTGTGTCCTTACAACCGACACCATCCATATCGTGCCACCCTTACGAGGACACATGAGGGAAACTGATTTCAGGCCCCATTCTCAGGAAAAGCTGTGCCTTGCCCAAGCATCAGGCGCGCTCCTACCTTACTGCACTCTGACCCTTGCCAAAGCTCTGCTTTCCTCTTTGCTCTGACCACCGAGAAGCTCAGAGCCGAGTGTGTGGCTCATCTGCACAGGATGCTGCGGTACCATGGCTCTGGATTCCCCTTGCTTTCCTGCCTCTGTTCTCCACCCCTTACCTCCTGTTTCCTTAGATAGCTTGTAAATCCTCCTAAAATGTTTCTTGGAATGGGATGGGGTAGAAATAAATAAAATAATAAACTCATTAACAAAAATTCACAAAATCATAATTTCTTCCTTAAAATGTAAGGTTTACCCAGCCACTTGGGAGGCTGAGGCAGGAGGATGGCTTGAGGTCAGGAGTTCATGACCAGCCTGGGCAACATAGCAAAACCCTGTCTCTAAAAACAAAATTAAAAAAATTAGCCAGGTGTGGGGGCACACGCCTGTAGACCTAGCTACTTGGGAGGGTGAGGCAGGAGGGTCACTTGAGCCCATGAGATTGAGGCTTCAGTGAGCTATGATCACACCACTGCACCCCAACCTGGGTGAGAGTGAGACCCTGCCTCTAAAAAAAAAAAAAAAATTAAAGGTTTGCAAAAAATCTTTGGGCATCATTGAGGGAAGCCTTATGCTTTTAGGATTAAATGAATTAATATGTCCTAAGTAAAAAAAAAAAATATATATATATATATGTGTGTGTGTGTGTGTGTGTGCGCGCGCGTATATATATATAGATATATAGTACACACATACATATTCCTTACAACACCCATATGAAGCAGATATCATTAGTGTTCTAATTTTACAGATAAGGGGACTGAGGCAGAGAGAGGTTAAGTAACTTGCTAAGGTCACAAAGCAAAAAGTGGCAGTGCCAGGATTTGACTGCAGTTGGTCCGGCCCCAGAGCCCATGCTCATAATCACTATGTTACACTGCCTCCATAAAAACATAACAGTGTCTAACACACAGTAAGTGTTAGCTACTATTTCAGCAAGGATCATATTCAGCAAGGCCTGGCAGCTGCTGGCAAATATTTCACTGTATTCCTTCAGAGAAAGATACATCCCTACTTCCCTTGGTCATCTGTTTTCAGTCTCACAGTTCCCAGTATTAAGAAATTCTCCCTTAAATCGAATCCAGGGATGGCCAATAGATGTCAGCTCGAGCACTGACACCAATGGATTGGGAGTAACAGACTAATGGGTTATGTTAAAAAAGCCTCCTAATTGATTAGCAATGTCTGCCAAGGGCATGATGGGTGGGGCAGTGGTGGCTGCAAATTTGCTTCCACCTAAATGGTTCCTGCTGCAGCTTTAATCCATCCTGCATGGTTGTGTTCTCAGGCACTGGCTGACCTTGTGCCCACAGGAACCTGGGTCTTCCTGTTGGAGGACAGAGCCAGCCCCCAGGATACACCCAGAGGGCAGCAGACAGGCATCTCAGAGCCCTTCTCTCTGGCCACCAGCATTCTTCTTTTGCAGGAAGCAGAGATAACAGGGCTGAGGAGATGATTCCTGCCCTGGTCAGCTTCCCATTTCCTCCTCCTCTTGCCTTGTGGTTTCAGCCAGCACTGGGCAAAGGTTCAGGGCTCCTCTTCTGCGCTGGGCTCAGAATGTGGGGAAAGCTACCTGGGCCTTTCTCCTTCGCTCTGTGGACAGAGACTGAGTGGAGACTCACCCCTTCCACCTCATGGGTTCCTTCAGCACAGACCCAAAGGGGTCTGGGAACAGTCCCTGGGTTGGGCCAGCACCAGCTCTCAGAATGCAAAATTACTATTGAGGGAAGGACCCTCAAGTCAGGCAGGGACTCAGAGCTGTCCTGGCATCCCGGTCCTGGGGGTGAGGTGTGTGCAGGAAGCCCCAAGGCAGGGTGGGAGCAGTTGAAGGCTCTTGTGGCTTCCTCGGAATAAGACAGGGAAAAGCAGCACATTTCCAACAGGTGAAAGCTCTCTATGGCAGAGTTTATTTTGGAAGATGGATGAAGGGAATTAAGATCTGACACACCAAACACGCCTTAATAAATTATCCTTCCTTTCAAGCAATGACATGACAGATCCTGCCTCACTGTGATGTGTCAGGGAGCATGGGATCCTCAGCATGGGTGCAAGGGCCTTTCAGGGCACAAATGGAGTCTTCAGTAATGGCCTTTACTAAAAATTAAGCAGGCAGCTCCCACAGGTACACATTAAGAGGAAAACAACTATGGAAATGACTTCTCCAAGGAAGGGATGATGATAGGGTTGATTTCAGCAACCTTGAGAAAGATCTGATGTGAGGGCTGGGCCCTTTCAACTCCTATCTCCAGCTCCCCCAGCGCCCTCTGGTCTTTTGTTGGGATATCAAAGACTGGTGCTCCTGTTCTCTGCATCCATTACTTCAGGGAGGCAGTCTCCTTGGGCTCTTCTCAGGTTCTCTGGAAGTGGCTCCACCCCGCGCCCCACCCTGGGCTTCCTAGCAAGGCCAGGAAGGAGTGCGGCGTGCTGCCTATAACTTATGTGCTGTCTCCCAGTCTAATCGGCTGACACCGCTCTCCCTCACATAACCACTGCCACCACCACCACCACCACCTGCCCAAAGTGACTTGGCCAGAATAGAGCTGCCCACTCAGGGGTGTGGACATGAGTCCTCTGGAGCAGACCACGCTTGGAGCCAGCTCGATGACCTGTTTTCTGAGACTTTTCAAGGAGAACTGAGGAGAGATGATCTCTTTTCTTCTTTCTAATGCCTGGTGCTTTTTTTTTTTTTTTTTTTTGACTCCAATAGCTTCTTTGGGGGACAAAAGAACTGAGCTAATTAGAGGGAAAGCCATTCTTTTCGATTGAAACTTGGGGCCTGTTTTGCCCTGGGGGCAGCCATTGTCTTGCCCTGGAGGGGTGCAGAGGTGGGTGAAAAGCAAAATGGTAGCCTCCCCCCTACAAGAAGCCTTCTGGAGGGACCCCTCGGGAGCCCGCATAGGCCCTCCCCAAGACAGCAGGGGCCCAGCTTGCAGTGTCCCCACCCAGAACCCCATTACCAGCAAGTGACACAGGCCTTTCAGATGCATGAGACCCTCGGCTTGAGTACTTACAGGAGGTCCTGAAAGAGAGAGAGAAAATGCCTGGGTCAGTGTCATTGCTGTAGGGGCGGTGGGGAGGCTGCCTTGGGAGCAGCGTCCAAGGATTCTGCAGCGGAGGGGTTTCCATCTGGTCTTCGAAGTTTGTCTTTTCCTGGCCCAATTTCACCAATATAATCTCTTCCCCCTTTATTTCATCTCCATATTTTCATAACTGGATGAGAAATCCAGAGGTCTGGGCCCCAGGCTCAGCCCTGCTGGCGACCTGCTGGTGGCCCTTCTGCCTCAGCTTCCCACCCCACAAAATGGGCTTTTCGTGACCCGCCTGAACTTGTGTACAAGGCTGCTTTGCAGAACACGGGACAGTGGGCACACTGAGAAAGGTGGAAATAACAGATCCTGCAGAGATGAGGATTGTTAGCATGCCGGTGTCCTCACTGGGCCATGGCAGGGAGGGCCAGCAGGCAGGCAGGGGTGGACGTGGATGGCCACTGTGAACCCTGCCTGAGGCCCATCGGCCCATCGGCCCATCCTGGTTTCTGTTTAACAGTGAGTTAGGCACTTCACCCCTCCAGGGTCTGCCACCCACAGCCTGTTTCTCAAAGTCCCCTCTCAGGCTCCAGCCCCACCTCCTCCATGCCTCTCTCTGTTCCTTTCTCTTTCTGGTGTCCACTCCCCACCTCCCTCCCACGGCCGCAGCAGCAGCCCTATCTCATTACTGGCAACAGCCAAGAATGACAAATTCAAGTGTTCCGAGAGGGAGAAAAAAGGAGTAGGGTTGGGGAGCGGGAGGGAAGGTTTAGAAAAGCAGCCGCGAAGGATAGGGAAGGAAAGGCACTTCTGCGAACATGAGCCACGAAACCCCACCCTCCCGGCAATTCCCAGCTGGGCCTGGTGCGTCTGCCCGGCCCCTAGTGCCCTGGCCACGTTAACTCAGCTGCGACTCCTGTTGCTTCTTTTATGCTCAGCCAATAAAGGCTCCTATGTTTCCCCGTGCTCCTCCCGTTCCCAGAGCCGGCTTCCTTCTTCATCTGTCCGCTTCTCTGCCCTGGTCACCATCCAGGAAGAAACAGCCTCTTTCATGCTGGCCTCTGTCAAGCCATCATGTTAAGCGGGACAAAATGTTTTAGATTAAAAGCAACAGAAAAAGTCAAGAGGTGTAGAGCCTGGGTGAGCAAGCCCCAGGCCCGGGCCTTGCATGCAGGGCCCAGAACAAGCGGGAGGGAGCACGGGGCAGGGGGAGCATCTGGGAGCCATTAGGCTGAGTGGCAGAGGAATGTCACCCAGAATCTGAAAATATCCCCTGAGCCCAGCCAGCCAGAGGGACCAGCCCAGCTGGGAAATCTGTTCCTCCTGGCTGGGGGAGATGTCCTCTGCATGAGAAGCAGGCTGGTGACAAAATTCAGCCTGTGGCAATTTTGGGATGCTTCAGCCACATGGAGGGCAGATGCCTTGCGCCTGCCAGGCCCGATGGGGCCCTGGCTCCCACTGTGGCAGGCTCTGGTGAGGCCCCCAGTGACACAGGCTGGAGCTCTGAGGGCAGCCCTGCCTGTTGTTAGCAGTCTCAGCTGCATAGCTGTCACCAGATGCA